ATTATATCATATGCTATAACTGACACCAACATAGGCCCGGTCCTTCCTGAGTGGGAGGGTATTGATCCTTCCTGGGTTCCAATTGTTCCAGTCACTTCGAGGTGGGACGACAAAACAGGCAAGTCCCTGACAAGGACTCAGCTTCCGCTGACTCCTGCTTGGGCAATTACCATCCACAAGAGCCAAGGGCTTACTCTCAAAAAGGCTGTCATTGATCTCGGTGACAAGGACTAGCTATAACAGACCGAAGCTATGTTCTTTCTCCTCATTTCGGATAACCCTTTGTGCTCACCTCTTGTATCGGCTTCGGATGCGGGCAACTTCGATCCGCGATAGCACATTCAAATCACGCATCCACAAGTGCACAGCGCACCTCATGCGAATCACGCACCCCCAAGTGCTCAGCGCACTTCACGCGAATCACACACCCATAAGTGCACAGCGCACCTCATGCGAATCACGCACCCCCAAGTGCTCAGCGCACTTCACGCGAATCACACACCCATAAGTGCACAGCGCACCTCATGCGAATCACGCACCCCCAAGTGCTCAGCGCACTTCACGCGAATCACACACCCATAAGCGCACAGCGCACTTCACGCGAATCATGCACCCATAAGCGCACAACGCACTTCACGCGAATCACGCACCCCCAAATGCTCAGCGCACCTCACGCGAATCGCGCACCCACAAGTGCTTCATCCTTCAGGAGCGAAGCAATTTTGGAGTCAGAGAAGGACCAAAGCTACGTGTTTTATTTCTTGCGATGTGCTCACGTCCTTGGATGACTTGAAAATTACTTTTAACATTTTGTTCCTTTCTTCTGCCGATTACTCATGATCTTTTATGCAATGATACCCTCAAGAGGCTCTGCCACCTCATTCGAATCTGCCGCCCTACGTGGTTTTGCACAAGTCGGCATGTACATTTCTCCCTTTTCAAACTACCCCTTCTTCATACACCTTCCCTGCTCCTTTTCTCCTGAGCACCTCATACGAGCAATTTGACCCGCTTCTTCTCCATTCCACTATGCACACACTTTCACCTCTTCCTTTCATTCATGCGAACTCCGCACCTCCCCTCATGCGACCAATATGACCTTCCCTTGTTAATGTGAGCCATGCACTCTCCCAATCCATTCCACCTGAACAACGCACTTCCCCTCATGCGAACAATGTGACCTTGCTTCCTTAATGCGAACACCGCATTGTGCGATCTACGCACTTTCTCCTCCCCATTTTTCGCACGAACAATACACCTTCCCCACACGACCACTTCGGCATTCCCTCTTCATCACGACCTTCCCATTCTTAATTTTCGCATGAATGATACACCTCCCTCATGTGAGCAACACATCATTCTCTCTTACTTTGTTCCACCATTTTCCCTTCCTTTTCATGCCAACATGTATGGGCAACAGTCCTCCCTCTTAATTTCTGCACTCCTCCCCTTGCACATAACATGCATTTCTCTTATCAACAGCTTTGGAGCCGAAGCTATGTATTCTACTTCTTATTTGAATTTTCCTCACGGCTTCCCAGATGTTTAACGTTGAATTTTGCCTTCATCCACATTTCTCTCTCTTTCAGTGTTCCTCGCCATGGGCCATCCCTCGCCAATCGCGGTGCGAATGGCGCCTACGGATCGGGGGAGCTCGGCTTCAGGCTGTCAGTATCCCCGCTGCGTCACTTAGGCTCCTAGAGTCTGAGGATCAGCGATACCGCCAGTCCCTCTGCCTTGGTGAAGACGTCCACCAGTCATTCCTGCCGTCCCAGACGTCAGGAATTTCTCCCGATCCCAAATGACACCTACAAAATTATTCAACACTCGAGATGGGCACATCAGCTTACGGAGTTCATAAATCATCCGCAACACCAACCAATCGGGTGTAGCCCCTCGGATCACCTTGCGTGTCTCACATGACCCCGGGGGTCCGTATCCCGATTGGGTCGGAGGGGGGTATCCTTTTTACACGGATGCCGACATCGAAAAGTAGGTGGGTTATGACAGAGACGACTGTACAATATGCGAGGTACGACCATCTCTGTTGTAGGGTCTGTCTACGAGAGACTAGGCGTCGGAGAGGTTTTTTTGCCAGGTTGAACCTGGTTGAACTGGCCGTTTGATGGCTGAGAACTCAAAAAAGGGGCCGCGGGGGAATGAGGTACTATATCTTCTGATGAAGTTTTGCTTTCTGCCAAAGTCTCAGCTTGGTCAATCCTCGAAGCACGCTGGCTGGCTGAGCTGGGAAGCACCGGGGCAACACGGCGGAGGCCCCTTGTACTCACTACGGCATGTGTCCGGCAACCGTGCCAAAACTACGCGTGTTCCTTCCGGGGAAACCTAATTAAAGCGAACGGTTCCTCTCTATGTGCGGACAGCCTATGACAGCGCATGACTTCCCAGCACCCTAGATCTCCCCAGATCCCCATTCAAATTTTAAACCCTCGTTTCATGCCGGTCTCAGCGAGGGCAACAAGAATTCACAACAACAGACCGTCCTCCGTTCCTTCCTTTTCTGTTACGTGCATGTCCCAGTCGGGACTCCCTCCCGCCGTCCAGAGGCAAGTCGAGGTTTCGGCGTGCGTCTTCGCGGGCTGCACTGGGGTGTGTCATCCTTTGCGTCTTTTTGGTTCGTCCATTTTGATCAGATGGTCGCATAGGTTTTCATTTGGGATATTTTAAACAACCTGAGAAGCGATTATGCGTTGTTCTTCAAGCATAGTTTCCGCGTGGCGTCCTTGGCGTATGTGGTGTCTAGGTAAAAACACAATGCATCATGCAATATCTACGCCCGTTAACACGAGAATAAACAGAATTGGATCCTTGATGTACATCCTCGGATTCACGATATTCGCGTGTAAGCATGTACCATCACCGTTCCAGGGCAAGCTAATATGTTGTGATCCAGCATATCCGCTCCAGGCGTGCAACACCGCCTACGTCGCGTTCAGCGCGTTTTACCCAATCGGTGTCTCTGCGTCTGCCTTCCTCTTCTTCTTCCGCGTGCGTGCCATATACGGAGGCGATCGCCTTGTCACCGCAATATTCGGATTTCTATGGCTCGCAGTACTCGGGTCTTCCCTAACTATCCCATTCGGCGGGGGGACCGCTGTCAAATTAGAAGACCCCTCAGAATGCATCCTCACGCGTGTGGACGTCTTCATGTATGTCGGGGCGTCGGGGATCATTTTAACGGTGCATGACACGCTCGTCTTCTTCGCGATTTCGTACCGGCTCCTGTCCGATTTCGGACAGATGCAGCAGCAGACTTGGGGCACGCAGCTGAAGATGCTATTCAGCGGCGCTCACCTGCCGGCTTTCTCGAAGGCACTTTTTGCAGACGGGCAGATGTATTACATGTGTGTTGTAAAGCACCCTCATCCGGCAGCGATGCTGATCCTTGTGCTCTGCTCCCCAGGATTACTGTAGTCACTAACGTTGCCTCGACGCTACTGGCCTACATCCCAACCGTCAGCCCCGTGCACCACGGGTTTCTGGTCATCCCGAGCGTGACGCTGACCAGCATTATGGCCTGCCGCGTCTACCGTAACACGATACTCGGTATAATGCGTGGAAGTGGGGAGCTCTCCTTACCGACACTCAACGACGTTGGGCCGAACGGGAACCTCAATATCCCGCTCAGCATCATGCATTTCTCCACGAAGCACAACCAGATGACGAGCTCCGCCCTCTTGGAGGGCGATAGTGATGGTTCCGATTTCACGAGCAACACAAGCGGGGCGCTTGGCACGTCTTCGAAGGCGGACAATTCGAGCTTCTCCTCGGGAATGCACCAGGATACCGGTGCTGTCCCTTGATTTAACTGTCACTTACAATAATTACCCTTGTAGATTTTTCTATATTGCTATAATCTTTAACCCTCGTTTATACTAGTAGTACATTCGTATATATACACTATATTTCGATGTCACAAGCACACAGTTCAAGTCAAAGGGAAGAAGACATCAAAGGCTCGGTGGGGGACGGTCTGTCTCTGCGCAGTAAAGTGACCATGGGAGGGACTATTGGAACAGCGTGGTTGGATGGGCGGTTTCTTCTTACCACGCAAACTTGCACACATATTTTGAGCAAGAAGACGGGAGGAAAGGGTCAGTGGCGGATGGTCCGCATCTGCGCAGTGTGGTATTTAGCTTCCAAAGCTGTTCAACAGAACTCGCTCGTTCGATTCGGCCCGAACCATACGCTACATTGCCGGTGGGTTTTTTCTCCAAGTCCTTGCCACGGTGGACCGCCGATTTTCCAACGGGAAGTGAAATTGGGAGATCGTGGTTGAGTGGTTATGAGGGGTGCCGAGGATTTAGGTGTTGAACCAAGCCATTGAAATGAGTGGTCGAAATTTTGTTACAGGAGCTTACCCTCTATCCCGAGTCAGAAAAAAGTTTGTAAAGGCTCGGTGGCGCGTCTGCACTGTATTATGCCGGTGTACAGCGATTGTTCAGCAGAAGTCGCCCGTTCGATTCGGGCCTGAGCCATGGGGTATTTTGGATGTGGATTTTTCTTGCTGCGATGGACGGGCGGGTGGTCCAACGGGAATTGGCTATTGGAAGCGCGGGTTGAGTGCTCTTCAAGAGGATTCAATGAAATCAGTGAAATGAGAGGTCAAGCGGATGTGGTTAATATTTTTGTTACAGGAACTTGCCCGTCTATCTCGAGTCAGAACAGGATAAGCAAGGCTCGGTGGTGGTTGGTCCACGTCTGCACTTTATTACCGGTAGTTGGACATTATACCGTGCAGCAGAACTCGTCTGTTCGAATCGGGCCCAAGCCATGTGCTCGGAGTATAGGATTTTTTTCTTGGTACGAGGGACAGGCGGGTTTTCCAGCGGGAGTTAGCTATTGGAAGTGCGGGTTCTTCAAAATGGTGACTGCATGGATTGAACCAAGCCATTGAAATGAGGTCAACTTGAAGCGAATGTGGTTGAAATTTTTGTTACAGGAACATGCCCGTCTATCTCGAGTCAAAGGATGGTAGGAAAGGCTCGGTGGCGGATGGCCCGCGTCTGCGCAGTATAGCTCCTGACTTTTGGACTGTTCAGCAGAATTTACCCGTTCGATTCGGGTCCGAGCCATGGACGCAGGGTCACATCTTTTTCCCATATTTGCGACGGCGGATTTTCTAAAGGGGGTTGGCATTGGAAGTTTAATTACATTCATAATTTTTTGGGGCGTTGAAAGAGTTGAAGCATTTGTTCTGGATACTTAACAGGGTGGTTGCCGGGTGAGACGCGCTCTATTAGTATTACTAAAGACTCTAGTCGCGTGACCGCACACCGCTTGTCTCCCGCACCCACAGCCAAAAACTTTATCGCAGTGGCCCTGCGGTAAAGTCTCGGACACCCGCTCTCGTGCACATGTGTCCTGCACACACCCACACCCACCATTCTCGAACACTACTACACCCCCCCCCTCCTGGCCGACGTACCCCTCCTCCTTCACGCCCTCGCCCACGACACCGGCGTCCTCGTCTGACACGCCCCCGCACCGCTTTACGACAGAGTCCGCGCCGCCCTCTTCCTCGTCGCGCTCGCCGTCCGAGGCAGAGACGACCGACACCTCGCCGGAGCGCGCCGACTCGCTCGACCTCCCCGGCCTCGGTTCCGTCGCGCTCAACCCCATCCTCGCCAAGGTCAAGTTCGACATTGACCGACGCAAAGCCCCGTGGTACGAGCTGTGGCTGCGCAGCCGCCGGCTGAACCACCAGAAACAGCGAGCGTCAACGGGCGTAAGAACAGCACCGCCGGCAAGAGCAGCGCGGACGAAGACGGGCAGCGGCGCGCCTGGGCCGCTGGCGTTCCGCCTCAACAACGGGAACGTGTGCGCGGGGATCCCCGCGTCGTTCCTCTCCTCGCACGCGGACTCGCGCCCGCGCTACCTCCCGCTGTTCGAGTCGCCGACTTCGATAACGGTGTCGGACAGCGAGGAGGACGGCGCGGACGGGGACGACACAGGCAAGGACCCCCTCGGCGACGTATTTGGCACTGACGCTGGCACTTGGGCAGACATGCGTGGCGCGCAGCCCCCGCGGCCGCAGAACCTGCACGTCGTGCAGCTCGCGCTCAGCGCGGCGGAGCTCGACGAGGAGGGCTACGACGACGACGACGCGGGGCGGGGCGGGACGGCTACGTGGAGGAGGTGGTGGAGCTGATGGGGCGGCCCAAGCTCGAACTCGACATCCGCGGGATGCACCGCTTGACGTCGTGCCGGCGCCGCCGACGCCGCTCGTGCTCAGCGGCTCGAGCACCGTGCCACCCTTGCTCTTCCCCGCGCTGGTGACCCCGTCGCCGGACCACCACGGCGCGGAGGGGCGCACGATCATGGCGTACCTCGACGACTCGTACGACGCCAAGCACCGCGCGGACGCGCGCGCGAAGAGCGTCCACGACCCGCAGAAGCGCGGAGGGCCGATCTTTGAGGATATGGATTCGGGCTTTGAGGTGTCTGCGGAGGATGATGTGCGTGCCGCGGTTGATTTTGGAGGAGAATGGTGTACTAACCTAGAGTGCAGTTCGACGTGAACGATCCGAACGACCGGCGGAAGAGCCAGTTTGTGATGCGCGCGCAGCTGGATGAGATCGAGAAGGTGTGTAATGGGAAACGATTGTTGGTGGACATGACTGATTTAGGCGTACGTAGAACTTGGTACAGTTCTCGCCGCGAATGCTCCAGACGGACTTGGCGGACGATCAGTCGATTAGCCTCGCCGCTGCTGCGCCGTCGCTGCATCTCTCGCCGCCCAGGTCCGCACAGTTCCCTGTTATCGACATCTTCCCCCCAACGCCGCGCCTGCCCCACTACCCACCCGAACTGGTTCAATTTGGATTGTCGCGTCTACGTGTCGCATCAAGTTGGACCAACGTTGGACCCCAGTTTCTCACAACTGTTGAAGACAACGAGTTTACCGAGAATCCATTTGGGCAAGGTTTCCTGTGCCTTGCTTACATTCTGTTTGTCAAGGGACGGTTCCCGGAGAGGTTGGCCGACAATGCCGCTCTCTCGGCACTCCATTTAACCTTTTCGACATGATCGGAGATGTACCACTCCACTACAGACTCAGCCGCCAGTGAACTCAGTTACTTCTAACTTTCTACCGGACTAACCGCTTGGATCGACCACTGCCGCCATAACAAGCTGATTTCCCCACTGGGTGCTGGCGGCGATCAATGAACAACCAAACGACTTGGTGGGAATCTTCAACATACTTTGGCCTCTGACGCCCCCTTTCTCCCTACTCTGGCCGGAAACTTTCGACTTCAATTGTCTCCGCGAACGCAACCGCAGTGCATGCTCGTCTTTCGAAGTTCTCGCCGATCCTTCAGGTGGGGTATTCGTACGTTGAGCGAGTTTGTACTGGCCGTACATTACTTTATCCATTCAAAGCCAAAACCGACCACCGTATGGTTCAGATTGTTCTCAATAAAACGTAACATATCGGCTGCTACATATCATGCCATGCGTTCATGTCCCCAATCTCAAAACGGATCGCATTTACAGTTTGAATGCACCTTCAAGCTTCAAGCTCTAAGTTGGCTTTTGGAGAGTGGCTAAACAGGGGCAGACTCTGTTGGCAGTGTGCTCGGTGTTCTGGACGTGAGACAGCGCGAGACTGGCGAACGGGGATCAAAAATGTCCATCTGGGGTCAGCTAATGAGGTTAGAGGCAAGATCCATCATCTGGGCGTCGAATTGACTCCCCCCGCGTTTCATCGGACCCAAGGATCGGCGTCTCGGATGTGGGCGTAACCTGACGGGACGACGGCGAGGAAGCTAAGGGAATGTTTTTTTGTTGCAATTCATGCGTAGCATACAGAGGGACCAGAGGGAAAGTTCCGACGATCCGTCTGTGTGAAAGACAGAAAAATGTGCGCTTCTCTCCTGCTTGAGCCCTCTGCGCCCCCATAAAGCTTTCCCGGAAGTCTCCGGAGTCGTTGCATGTTCCTCTCCAAGCATGCGGGGCTTGTGCACATCACTGTCTTGTACATTCTCGGCAATCTGTGTCGGACAGCTTATGACAGCGCATGACTTTCCAGCACCCCAGATCCCTTCAAGTTCTAGATCCTCATTTTATGCCCGATTCCCGGTCTCAGCGAGGGCAATAAGAACAACTCGCAACAACAGACCGTTCTCCATTCCTTCCTTCTCTGTTACGCGCATGTCCCACTCGGGACTCCCTCCCGCCATCCAGAGGTCAATAGAGGTCTCGGCGTACGTCTTCGCCGGCTGCACTGGGGTGCGTTGTCCTTTGCGTCTTTTTGGTTCGTCCATTTTGACCAGATGGTCGCGTAGGTGTTCATTTGGGACATTTTAAACAACCTGCGAAGCGATTACGCGTTGCTCTTCAAGCAAAAATTACACGTGGCATGCTTGGCGTATGTGGTGTCCAGGTAAAAACATACTGCTTTATACAACATCTACGCCAGCTAACACGAGAATAAACAGAATTGGATCATTAATGTACGTCCTCGGATACACGATATTCTCGTGTGAGCATGTACCATCACCGTTTAGGGACACGCTAATATGTTGTGATCCAGCATATCCGCTCCAGGCGTGCAACACCGCCTACATTGTGTTCAACGTGTTTTACCCAATCGGTGTCTCTGCGTCTGCCTTCCTCTTCTTCTTCCGCGTGCGCGCCATATACGGAGGTGATCGCCTTGTCACCGCAATATTCGGATTTCTATGGCTTGCAGTACTCGGGTCTTCCATAACTATCCCATTCGGCGTGAGAGCTGAAAATTTAGGGGACCCCTCAGAATGTATCGCCGCGCAGGTGGAGGCTTATGTCGGGGCGTCGCCGATCATTTTAGCGGTGCATGACACGCTCGTCTTCTTCGCGATTTCGTACCGGCTCGTGTCCAATTTCGGACAGATGCAGCAGCAGACTTGGGGCACGCAGTTGAAGATGCTGTTCAGCGGCGCCCACCTGCCGGCCTTCTCGAAGGCACTTTTTGCAGATGGGCAGATGTATTACATGTGCGTTGTCAAAGCACCTCATCCGGCGGCGACGTTGACCCTTGCGCTCTGCTCCGCAGGATCACGGTAGTCGCCAACATTGTCGCGATACTGTTGGTGTACATTCCAACCGTCAGCCCCATGTACTGCGGGCTGCTGTCCGTCCCGGACGTGATGCTGACCAGCATTATGGCCTGCCGCGTCTACCGCAACACGATATTCGGTATAATGCATGGAAGTGGGGAGCTCTCCTTGCCGACACTCAACGACGTTGGGCCGAACGGGAACCTCACTATCCCACTCAGTGTCATACAGTTCTATACGGAGCACAACCAGATGACGAGCTCCGCCCTCTCGGAGAGCGATGGTGGTGATTCCGATTTCACGGGCAACAAAACCGGGGCGCTTGGTACGTCTTCGAAGGTGGAAATTTTGAGCTTCTCCTCGGGAATACACCAGGATACCGGTGCTATCCCTTGATTTAACTGTTACTTAAAATAATTACCCTTGTAGATTTCTATGTATTGCTATAATCTTTAACCCTCGTTTACAGTACATCCGTATATATACACTATATTTCGACGTCACAGCACACAGTTCAAGTCAAAAGGAAGAAGACATCGAAGGCTCGGTGGGGGACGGTCTGTCTCTGCGCAGTATATTGTCCATGGGAGGGACTATTGGAACAGCGTGGTTGGATGGGCGGTTTCTTCTTATCACGCAAACTTACACACATTTTGAGCAAGAAGAGGGGAAAGGGTCGGTGGCGGATGGTCCGTGTCTGCGCAGTGTGGCATCTGAGCTTCAAAACTGTTCAGCAGAATTCTCCCGTTCGATTCGGGCCCGAGCCACAATGCATTTATTTGATGGAGTGTTTTTTTCTCTCCAAGTCTTGCCACGCTGGACCGCCGATTTTCCAATGGGAAGTGGAATTGGGAGGTCGTGGTTGAGTGGTTTGAGGGCGCCGAGCATATATGTATTGAACAAGTCATTATTGAAATGAGAGTCAAGCGAAGGTGGTTGAAACTTTTGTTACACAAACTGCCTATCTAAGTATTTCGAGTCCAAGGGAGGGTAAAGGGTAAGAAAGGCTTGGTGATGAATAATCCGCATTTGTG